AATAGATTCTGGACCAGCCCATGATCACCGAGCCGGATTTCAGAAGAGAGAGAGACGTCCAGCAAGTTTTTCAAATCAGTTGACTTTTTTTGCGGTCCTGATTATCGTTTTATAGAGACCATTTAGTCCCTGTTAAGTAAAAGGTAGCAATAATTTTGACAGTGACACGAAAACGAAGCGTCAGAGAAAATGGAAATTACACAGCCCTTACACACTGCTAACTGTTTTAATTTTCGAAGGCTAAAAGTTTCTGAATTGTTTGGTGATTGGTGTTGAATGTCGAATTCACACCTCTGTTCTTTTTTACCTCTATGCTTGCAGCTTGATCTGCGTAATAATTTATGAAATAAGAAACCGGGCTTGGTCAATGTGTTTCCAGCAAATAAAGTTTTAATACGATGTTATAATTATGACAATCACGCCATGGATCAAGCTAACTCGAATCCACTCTGAATTTATCTGTATGTGTGTCGATCTCGATTATTTTTTTTATCCAATTAAACGCCGCTTTTAACGCACTTGCCCTCGCCGTGACCCGACGCGTTCACCTATTTCAACAAAATGTCAATCTATTTCCACGCGGCTGTCATTTATTTAGTAAGTAATTATTTTATAGTGATCACTATACATGTAGTCTAATGTTTAGAATGTCAAAATATGTTCTCTTTTATTTTTAATTTGAAAGTTTAACTCAGACAATCGATGAAATAAAACAGTGTAGTGACGTGCCGAGTAACCTGCTAAATAACGAGATAATTCCGACGTCAAATTCTATTTTGTCCAGCAACAGTGTACAAACGTGCGCCGGTGTCTGTGACGATCACGGTGACCAGCTACACCAGAACGGACATATTTCGCATCTAACTCAACCCCATGCAACAAAAATTGATACTATGTGTTCATTATGGTCCATTCTTCCTCGACGAACAAGTACATAAGTGACAATATAGTCAGACGAGAAAACTGTACAAGAAATTTGCCTTATTTACACGTATCGGCAATGCAAGCTGCCATGCGACTTCCCCTTCTGACGTCACAAGAGGAATTTCTGTATGCAAATGAGAAGCTAATGAGGAGCCTCGTTTTAAAATACAGAAAAATAAAGTTGCCGTAGACTGAGTTTAAAACACATTTTTATCACTTAAAAAAAATAATTCGTGCTTAGAAACATAAAAATTAATAATATTTAAGTATCAATTGATAATTTTAGGCGTGAAAATAGCAGCCATTTCACAGGCACTTTAAAATTTTTTTTTTTTTTTCAGTGTGAAAAATGATAGAATTAATGTAAATGAAAGTCATTTCAAAGTATAAAAAATGGTAACTAATCACAGAGAGACTCAAATCTGTTTTAATTCTGCCTCTTTATCAGTAGATTTCTATCTAGGTTGAATTGTTAGAAGAAAATAAGTTTTGTGAAAATAAGACTGCACTGTTGGTATAAATCACAGTGGCTAACCTACTGTGAAATGACTAATTTTCACTAGCTTTAAATTTCGTTGATTTACAATTTCAGGCATATTCAGTTGGTTTTAAATTCACAGTTTCATCATTTAGATAATGTGTTCTACGCTAAATTTTACATAATCACAGGGTTTTAATTTAGCGCATTTCCAGTCAATAATTAATCCTTTTACATTATTATAGTTCTCCATTGTTTTAGTGAGACTCAACCACCCTCAACTTTTTTGATAGTCTTTGACCAGTCCTATTTTGTGATCATAGACCTTGGAAGCTGATAGAAGGTCTGCATGTTTCAATCACTTTGTCTTATTTTTTCTTGTCAGAATCACACAAACACGTACTCTGATTGGGAGAAACAAGTATGAAGTCGATCTGTTTCTGTTTTCTTGTGTTCATCCAAAGCTGATATCCAGGATACATGCAGAAATAGAATGCAAACCAAATGAGATTATTCTGAAAGATGTTAGTGCTAATGGTACATTTGTCAACCACGTTAAGGTATGTGTTCTTACATGTAGTTTGTACTTCATTATATAAATAAGCAGCCAGTGTTTGGTAGTGTAGTTATAACTTGGTAGTTCTGTGTATTATTCAAAAAAGAAGTTGTTGTATTTGGTGTCGACCATGTAACATAGGGGTAGCAGATTCCAACGTCGATGAGAAGAGGAATCTGCTGTCTTAGACTATTCCAGAATTTCTGCAGTGTTGTAGTGTTGCTTTCAAGTAAGAGGTAAAAATTACTGTCTGACCACATGTATATTTTATTTAATGTATGTGGTGGTTTTGATAATCACTGTTCTGATCACAGATATACTGGTTTCAACAACATGTAGACCTGCCCCTAGTTGTTTACAGTTTAGCTGTCATGATTACTTGCTTCTGGATTTAGGATTTAGATTAAGACTATACATGTAGCTGTACATTAGATTGCTGTACTCGTCCGACTTAGCGCCCATCCTCTGCTAAGCGTCCATCTCACATTTTTGGGAACAAACACATTTGACAATGGAAATAATGATTTTGACTGTGTTCAAGCAGACTCTAATAATTTCAACCTCGTAAATTATGATAGTACGTAATTAATATTGCAGTAAAATATGCATATCTTTTGTCGCCATTTCTGTTTCTTCAATGTAAAAGTGATGACGCAACTAATTTTGCAATTTTATTTTCCCCCAAAAGACTTAACATTCACCCTCAGTCTGTCAACCAAACATGAGAGGTGCTCAGGTAAGCGCCCACCCCCCTAAAATACATGATTTCTGGAGCCGAGTACCCTGGGCGCTAAGTCAGTAGGTATGGAGTATGGTAGTTCTAGTCTAAGATGAAGAAAATGGCCGAACACAATTTAAAGTGATCACTCGCCTCAAAATAGCATGTACTTTTAAATTTCATATTTCCAGGAAATATTTGAGAAATTGCCCATAGAAAGTACCAGGATGTGTGACCTTTAGGCATAAGGCCTATTGGAATACTTATTAGTCCCCGTTCAGGCACAGCCTGAAAAGGGGAGTTATAATTCAGGTTTTGTCCGTTTTCCGTCTCCAACATTTTCTCAGAAATTCTACAGCAGGTATCAGTGAAACTTGGCAGGTTGATGAACAAGTGTATTCCGAGTATGCACGTAATTTTTTTTCCAAATCTGAAAATCCCAAGTGGGTCTTTTTCACGATTTTTATCAAAAATTACCTCTCCCGGCAACATTGACAGAACATCTGCGCATGCTCAGAATAAATTAATTACTGTAAAATACTTTATTTTTGCTTGCAACATTATTTTGCTATTTTCGCTGAAGGAATGTTTCTGTCAGTTAAAATAAAATCCAGCGAATATTCCCTTTTTCCTATATTTTACAGTCAAACTTGTCAAAAATCAATGAAAATAAATTCAATACAAAAAACAGCCAGGAAAAGTCTTTTCAGCGAATGATAATTCCAGCTGAAATAAAATATTTTACAGTAGATTAGATCTGTGAGTAACGCTACAGCACGTGATTTCTCCATTGCGTGTAATTTATTATAGTACTGTTTATACATGTATTCTGTTCGGCTCAGTGGTCTCATTCACTGGTTACTAGAAGAACTAGTAACCTTATTTGATTTCAAGAACTTCAAGAAGGCGGCATAAGAGACGTGTTTGCAAAGGTAAGTTCTCCAGTTTCTACAAAATTGAATGTATTTTGGGGTGCGATTGGTGTACATTCCGTGATCGACGTACGTACGGACGTGAATATTATGATGATTGCCAGCTTTATATTCTTGTGAAAAGCCAAAAAAGCAAACAATTGTCTCCAATCTACGAAACTAGTTTGTAAATTGTATACCCTGTCAAATTATTGTACACGGACGATTAATTCATGGGGACTTAGTTTCACGTAAAATCGTTATCCGGTCTTTTGCTTGTGTCGCGATTTCCGAAATATCCACAACTCGGGGGGGGTGTCCCTGTGTCGATCAACTTATTCATTATATAATAGTAGGTTGCCTATGATTATATTCATATTTTTATGTTGTGAGCATTAAACTGTTAGTTGTAATGAAGATTTTGTTGATCTCGTGCGAT